GAGAGAGAGAGAAGGGGGGGGGGGGGTTAAACATCAGCATTTGTTGGATACTGATTATGAATATAATTTATCAAAGTAACTTTTACGAGATGTGATTTTACATGTTTGTGACGATGAGCTTTACATAAAAACATGCAAACTCTCTATAGCGTTTGATTTACTCGTTATTTTCCCGTTTCGCCTGGACTAAACCCGGCTCGCCTCCCTCACACACGGCGTACCTTGAAAATCGATTTACATGGAAACGAACACATTAATTCGTTTAAATTCAGCAACGTCGACGTGCATCGCCCGTCTCTCTATCGAAAGTGGACTTACAATTTTCCGTTGCCCTTCATACAGTCCAATCGTCCCAGGAGACAAGAAGGAACAAAAAAATAAAAGGTAGAAGAATTCGAAAACGACGGAACGACGGAAGAAGATTGTACCAAAGACTTGAACGACACGCTCGTTATGAGTAACATATACAGATATACGGTAAACACAGCGTGACACATATAGGGGAAAAGCGTTGACATTTAGGATTGGAACTATTCGAACAATGCAACATTTGTAAATTGAATATTTTTTTCGGAGAGAAATACCTGAATATATTAGAAATGTAAAAAAAAGTGAAAGAAAAAAACTATAAACGGTAAAAATGACAATTTCAGAAAAGAGAAAGGAAATTTTAATTATATTCATATTCTTGATAGCTTGAAGAAATATGAAATTTTTGGAGCACATAACAGTTTGCCGAATAGTCCCATTTCTAATAAAAACACGGGAAAGTTTTACCTTGCGACGACATCCTCGGCAACGTGGAGGATTTGATTGCCGGTTTCGTGGGTTTTGTGTCCGCTAGTCGTGGTAGGCATTGCAGAATCGTATGAGAGAAGGCGTTAGAGATTATTGCGTTAGTATTGACTAAAACCCGTGACGAAGATTGGCGTTTTGCCATAAATATATATTTTACTTTGATTAATCTGAATTCTTATTGCTAATATTACATTCACGCGCGGTGTACTCCGAATACGATAATTCGTTATACGTATAGTAATCGCAGGAAGTGGTGGAAATGTACTATCGTATTTCAAATTTAGAACGCTAACTCGAAATTGCTATCAATTATAATCAATGCAATTGTTTGCGCGCTGCCGGAAAATTATATAAGCTGTTGGGCAAAATAGTGATACAAATCGCTAAAATAAATAACATACAATCAATCTTTACGCGTATAATTGCCTTGAAAGTAATGTGATAATTTTTAACTTTCTCTTTTCATTAGAAAATTCAACGAGCTAGACAACTAATTTGTATTTACCATGTTAATTCTTTTGCAGATTTTGATTATTTTCTTAACACAAAAGAATTATTTATTAGATTGTTTCAAGCAATAATTAAACATAAATAAGCATAGAAAAATTTGATATAATAAATTACTATATAAACAATATTGTTTTTAGCATTGTCAATTATAAATCTGTTAAGTGTGGAAACAAATCATTCAACTTGATTGATGAAATGAAGCGAAAACTCGGTAAGATTTCGAAAGCAAGAACATGGATTCCTAATTATAAATCATTAATATAGACCGCAATTTCAATCGAATCGAACACGTTGTTAGAGACGTTCGTCGATATTATTCCGCGGCAAATTTGCATCCAATTTCTGCTCATTGCAAAATCAATCGTACCAGTTGCGATACGATATCTCGTTGAATCATTCCCAAGTTGCTATACAGTTTTGTTATTTCGGTATAAAAAGAAAAATATTGCGGTTATTGAGTCTCTAATTTTACGCGCGGGGAATATACATATACGTATGTATAATTGTTTCTATTTATTATCCGAGCTCAAGCTTACTGGAGGATTAAACAAACGGTATTAGAGTTTTAAAGCTTGTAAATGTGTCCGGCGACTGCTGCTAAATAATAATTTCTTATTGAATTTTTATTGTATTTAATAAAAATTTGATTGTGTTAGTTTTTATCTTATGTTTCGTGAATTACTTTTGGTTTGAGGGAAACGAGCTGTAACGTTCGACAGACGTCTATCGCTTCCTCAAGTGATAGACAAGTGATAGGACAACGTGCGATTCGGTATTCTGGCCTTACAGCGTGCTTAGCATACATTTCTATGCGTTGTGAGAGTTGCGCTAGCCGTTTACCTGCATGTTGCGGGGAATGTTGTTTGGGGGAGTTCATGTCTGGTGGCTCGTCACTGAAGGACACTGACTTTTCAAACGACACCGACTTGTCTGGAATAGATGTTGATCAGCATATTTCTGCGCGGTACATACGCGTCAAGCGTAAAAAGCGTATAAATAAACGTACTATGCATTCGGTCAGAATGAATCTCTTGATAATGTGTACATTGCATGATATGAGTATTGAAACCAGCGTCGGCTTTACTGACACTCTTTCTGTTATTTAATTTTACAAAGATTATAAATTATGTTGTAAATTGTCACATTAATTACTATTTAAACTAATTTATAAATATTTTATTACCGCAATTTAGAGATTTTGCAGTTGATATTTTTAAGCTTTGCTTTTTTGAATCGTCCTTAAAGCCGGAACTGGGAAAATAGTTATAGATATCACTCTGACATATGTACCGTGCAAACTCAAATCGAATATAATTACAGAAAAAATATGCTATGGACTAAATACTGACACTCTTTTTTTAAGGCAGTAATTTGAGCAAAGAAGTGAACAAAAATAAAACAAAGTACGATTTAAAACATTGATTGAAAACATAATTATATGTTAGAAAAAAAAGAGAAAAAAAATGGATGATGAAATTAAAAATTGGGAGATTACTAGCTGTTGAAATTTGTCAATAAAATATTGCAAAATTACAATTGCATCTTGAACAGAGGGTACGAATGTGTGATATACGCAACGATGATAATGAGAGCAACGCAAGAAATGAAAGCAGCGGTAACGGCAGCGAGAGCATTCGCAATTGCACATAGATAAGAGAAACATATATATATTGTATATTGAAGCGCACCTTTGCCTAATTTTGGCGGTTTAACGTCAGTCCTTAAGTACGAGTCATCTGTAACGGCAGGTTGAGACACTTGAATTTTAAAGGACACGCATTGTTATTTGACGGCGATAAAGGTAGAGATAAACATTAAATATATAATATATAAATATGTAGAAATATTTTTGTATAAGTAGATAAGTAGAGAATCATAATATATAAAAATATACGTATATATAAAAATATACGCATGTGTGTATACACACACACACACACACATATATATATATATATATATATATATATATATATATAGTGATTAATACAGTGATTCGGAGATGAATAGAAGATAGAAGAAGATGAGAGACACACCTGGCAGTGAGGCAGAGCTGGAGCTAGAATGTTTGTCGAACTCGTCCCCGACGCCTGGTGTGTGCGTTAGTCGGAATAACAAAGCAGTTGTACAGCAGGGCTTCAGGAGAGTTCAGTCCGTGAGACTACATTGCTGGGCAACTATATGTCCATCAAACTGAACTCCGTACTGAACTCAATATCCTCAGAGGTCTTTCTCCGAGTTTGTTAAAAAAAAAAACATGAAAATTTTTGCTAGCAGGCAAATCTACATTTGAGAAAAATATCGATTTAAAATTGCCAACCCATTTTTGGCGAAATTATTCAGTGAAACTAATTTTATCGATTAAAAACAATTTTTTTTAATTTTCTGTTTTACAATTTCAATAATCCTCAAGTGCTATGAGCTTTTAGTATATATAAAAGAGTTTTTTCGAAAATTTACAAAATAAAGACTCTTGCTGCAATTACAACATACTCAATAACATAAAATCAACATAAAATAATAATGTCATAAATTAGCGGTGAAAAATTTTAATGAATTATTCATCAAAAATTTTATTTGCTTCTACTGCAAATGTCTCATACATAGCTTGTTGGATGCGTGCATAATATGTTTACAATTCATTTTTCATAATGTAATTACAATCGTTATTTTAATATAAGCTAAATATGAAAATGGTGTAATAATTCGTTAAAAAATTAAAAAGCAGCTCTTCTCTCTATTTTTCAATATTTCTCAAGTGATACAGAAAACTATAAGCTAGCTAGATTTGATTTTATTGTAGCAATTGAGAATTTTTGATTCATTATTTCAATTTGTTTTATTCTCTAATGCAGAGAATTTGCAATGTTAATTTACTATTTCTGATAATATTCTGTTTTCTCAATTATATTATTATAGTAAATTTACACACTTATATTGATTATATTGTCTAAAAAGAATCCCCCATTTATGGGGCAAATATTTTCTAATTCTTTCGCAATTCAGTTCTGAAACATGCTGCATACGAGCAATGGCATATTGTTGCTGGCGCATAGCTCACGGCATAAATTCTTCCAATATAGTATATGCAAATCTGCATGTATATGTATGCAACATATATCTATGCATGTTTATATATTTAAAGTTGTGTTGTTTCAGTGAATTTTAACTTATATTTAAAGACGAAAGACGACCACGACGTTTATCCAGTCTATGAATCGTAGACTGGAAATGTAAAATAATGCAAGTTTTCAAAAATGCGAGTTGGCAAAAATTTTTGCGAATTTTTTATATTGAATTTTACTTATTTATTTCCATCCTTATTTTTTGGTTTTTTTATATAATTTTTTGTATAATTTCAATACTTCTAATAATTCTCTTAAACTTCAAATTTTACTACATTATACATATATTATAGAATTAACTTGATAATTATATGTATAAAACATCGACGTAGTCGTCTTCTTTTTAGTTTTTGATTATTGATTATTGATTTCGATGCGGCATTAATAATGATACTGTATAAGAACCGGTGATTTTGAGATGTCAAGAGATGATGAAGTGGATAGATGAACAGGCGCGGATGAATGGACAGATGAATGTTAGTGGAGACTACTTTATGTAAAATGTCTAGCAGTCTCGTATGCTTCTTAGCTGAAACTATCTCAGTGAATTAAATAAATTGCGCTAATTCTTTTCTGTAAAATAAGCACTGAAAATGTAGAAGAAAATGAAAATAAGATGGCATTCCTAAAACGCTATCGATTATCTTTAAAACTCTCAAGATTCAATGACGGCGTCTACACGGCTTGTCTCAAAAGTAATGAGAATAATTTCATTTATAATTTATTTATAATTAAACGTATGTTTTTAAAATTTAGCAAATATTTGAATATCTTTTTTGGTAAAATATTTTTTAATGATAAAGTAAGTGATAAGTGATTTTACAACGGAAAATTCTACTGAAAATCGCCGAAACTTATATGCTTTTTGAAGAAAATCATGTCAAATTAATCAGATAAGCTGAATACAAAATTTCCAAATAAATGATTCTTATTGCTTCGGAGACGAGCCACCTTTCATGATGTCACGTTACTTGGAGAACCAAGGAGAATGATATTGATCATGAAAGTGAAATGGAAGGTACAGAAAAAAAACCTAGAAAGAAGACGAGAAGTCGCGAATTTCTTATGCAACACGTACCTGCGGTCCTCCCGTAAGGATCACGTCCTGGCGGGACTTGCAAGTATTCCCGCGGCGAAGGGCTGGTATGCGGGGCGTGCGTCAAAGCTTTCTGAACAAGTCCGGTGAGATTGGCCAGTTGTCTCTCCATGTGCTCCACTCTTATCCTGCGACAAATGATTTTCGCGGTCAAAGAATGGTTAGTGTTAATCTTAGCAGCATTCACACATCGCTCTTGAAATAGTTTAAAATTGATTTTTTTCAGCGCTCGGCGAGAGTCAGTTGCTTTAAACAAATATTATAATCTCTTCTCATGCGGCAGAATGCGATAAAAATAGTGTAGATACAAAATAAAATAAATTATTCTTATCAAAACTATCCTGTTTTTTCTCACAATGGTTAATAAAACAAATAAAAAGTAATCAGCAGCAAACTATTGAACTAAATATTTTGTTCATTCATAAGATTCTTCTTTGTTTCGATCGACTTCAATTCGTTATTAATGCGTTTCTCGAACAAATTATAAATGAACAATTTATATAAACTCGATTTATTTTTAATAATTTCAATATTAAACAAGATTTGATTTTAAATTTATTCATTTCATTGATTTTATAATGTTGACAATATGAACGATAATGACAAACTATCACAAAATATCATACTAAAATGATGATCAAATAATAGTTTCAGTGTTACGAAAAGTGATGTCAATCAAAACATATTAATAATAATCTCATATTTATATTATGCGTTCTTTTAAGTGAATTAGTTGGAGAGAAAATAAACCAATACCTATTATATTACAATCTAATAATAGTACTATTTAGTCTATGATGATAAATCAAAAGATTTCATATTACAACATACTACAAATAAAAACTGATAGACTCCACACATATCCGTTTTCACCAGAAGAATATGCAAAAACTGTTGAACGAAGAAAATTCTTCTTTTTTTTTACGCAGATCAACGCGATATCTAAAAATTTTATCGTGGACATGTATTTCCTGTCAGTGAAATCGGATATGAGTTACATAACACGATGCTAATCACGTGCATCTATCGTTTCACATGACAGCAGTGTCCAATCTACGTCATAGTGACAGTACATAAAATGATATACAGGGTGATATATGTGGCACGCGACGATCAGATCGGCTGTATCGTGATCCTCACGGCAATTCCGCCTTGATGTAACTTTTGTAAAGTTGCGAGAGGTGAGGTGAGTTTGCAGCCGACAAGTATATTCAATTCAGTTTTCCAATATACGCTTCATTTCGTCGTATAACATCAAGTCCGTCTAGAAAGTTTTCACGCGAGAGCTGAACTGCTCGTGACAGCCTTCGAAGTATCTCCGATGCTAATAAAGATTTATTTCCGGTATAAATTTTTAAAGTAAAAGTAATTGTGTAATATTTCCAAGCATAATGAGTATCATTGTCGATGCATTTTCTTGGAGAACACGTATCTACCGTTGAAATTATTCATAGTCAGATTTATTAAACGCAAATTTAATCACGAAGACAAACCATAGCAATATTGCGGGACATTAAATAAAATTAATAATTATATAAAAAAAAAACAACACAGCGATAGCGATTGCCACAATATTATTGAGAAAGTTGCGTTAAAGAGACAATAAAAATATCATCGATTGCATTATCTTCATCATTGAAGAATAAATATAATATTATAGAAATTTTGTAAGCCATTTAGTATACTATTATATTATTTGTTAAATTTATTTTGTAGTACATATGTGCCAGTAATTATATGAAAGTAGACTAATTGTAAGTCAAAAATCCGAGAAAATTGAATTTATCTCTTACTTTGTGTTACATTAATCTACATTATTATAATCATAAGGAGCTATTTTTAAAAAATAATTGAAAATTGATGGCGTAGATAATTTTATTGTTAAACAGAATTCAAATTCACGTTTATTTTGACTTTTGTTTTACGAAAAAAGAAACTTTTTTTTTCCATTTTCCATTATGTCAGCAGGTAGCAATTTAGATAAGTAAATTTTATATAATGATATATATATAATGATATATTATGAATATTTTAAAGCTCCCGAGACTTCAGAAGTTGGAAATTCTATTATCAAAGAAGAAAAAGAAAACTAGAATATTGGTGAAAATTAATTAAATCTTATTATAATTATAAAGTGCGAATAAAAATGTTTATTTTTAACTTATATTTGAATAAAATCCAATATTTTTTTCTTCCAAGTTATTTTTAAAAATTATTAATTTTAAAAACAATCGAAATCATTTGTGGTATAAAAAAAAACATTTCCTTACAAACTCGCCAAATTTTACAATCACGGAAAGGATTTACATTATAAAAGTAAGTATTTTAGAAAATATTTTGTTACATAACAAAAAATACTTTTTGATACATACAAACGCAAATATCCAAATAATCTCAAAACAAAAGATTGTTAGCTCACTTTCACACACATAATTAGCGGTACATATTAATAAATTTAACAACTCGCGAGGTTGTGTATATCCGTTTCTCTCGTGCAAGACACCCTGTATATGCCCAATGCATTCTTATCTACAACCGCTAATCGGCATGCTGCATTCCACGAAGTTGCAAGTTTTATTTCTATGTATCATATATGTGTATTTTTCGAGTCACATTAATGATGGCATATTTACACACACGACACATCTTGTTTTTCAGTGATAGAGAGAGTAATCATTATTATTTCGCGAATCATAAAAGGCGTCTCAGAAAATATACAACATAAATTTTATATTAATAATTGTAAATATATATATCCTTTTCTTAAGTAATTAAATGTCAAGCAAAAGTTTGTTGAAAGTTCAAGTCTTATTATATTATTTATTAATCTATTTTTTCACGCAAATTAAATTAAAAACTCCAAACATTAAGTAGCTTTTTAATTAAACTTCAGATGAAGATTTTGCTAACTAGAACTCGACTTGAGAAACTAATTATGACTCGTCTCAGAATCGATCTGAATTGTTGATTCCAATATTATCCATGAGATACTATATGCAATATTTCGTTTATGCAACACCACGCGAAAAGTTATTTTTGCGATAAACGAGTCAAAAGTTTTCTTGTTTTGTTTCCCTCCTGATGTATTATTTCTACTAATATACATAAAAATGCATTTGTTGTTTGCAATGTGTATACAACAGTACGTATAGAACGTACTGGTTAAGAAGACAAGTTTTGCCATTTATGATTCACAAAAATTATTAATATTATACAAACGATATTTCCGTATCTGAAAAGCAGAGAAATATTATTTTCAAAATTTATCTTTCAAAAAATTTTGATTGCATTTTTAATATAATAAAACCAAAATTTATAAATTAAATGTGGATTTTAATATTTAGCTTATTGTTCAAAAATGTTTCATATAAAACTATATCGTTTATCTTTAATGCTTATTTTATTGTGTTTAGACAGTCGTATTTAAAAGTTCCACTCAAATTTACATAACTTTACGATTCATGTCGATAACAACTAAGAAAATCGAAACTAATAACAAAGCTTGTTCAACGCTTCTGTTTCTCAGATACAGACTCCCTAAATTTGCCTCACTGATCGATCCAACTTTGCCTCGCGCTAAGAGTATGATTCGACGAAACTGAGATATTGACATTTTTCTTTCTGATTACTTAATTAAGGTATCCGGCGTACTCTACAACATGCAATTGCAGACGATTCGGTAGTGATGGCATTCCCGTTTCGCGTGGAAAAAGGGGATAGTAGCGTTCAAAAGTGAATGTATGTATATACATATATATGTCGATATGGAGACTTGTAATCAAATTTCTATAAATCATGAAAAATTTGATAAATGATGAAAGTTTCGTGCAAAGGAATCGTTAGTATTCAAATTCGATTAGTCAAACTAACATTTCACAAATGTGAACATTACGTTTTCTTAATGATCGAATTAGTTCTGAAATGACAAATAACTCTGCTTCCACGGATTTGTGTTTTTTTTTCAGAATTTCAGAAGTTCCTCATTTAAATAGCTCACTCGATCGTCCGACAAATGCGACAATAGAGTCCGCGAAATGTCAGCGTAAAATTTGTGGAATGTTTCTCGTTGAAGAAAAGAAAACAGTAAAAATGTATTCATTGTACGAATAGGAAGTTAAAAAAAAACGAATAATTGATCTGCATGACGCTACCACTCCCTAAATGAGCATGATGGATACTGCTTAATATTGCAGCTTTAAACAATAATTAAATAGCTGGAAATATTCCCTTTTACCATAAAATCGTGAAAAAAATTTTGCCGACCAGTGAATATTTTGTTTTATATAAACAAATCTGTTATTAACTGGATTAAATTATCCGATAATGGACAGAAGATATCAAATAGATAATAATTCTGCTTATATAAATAATTCTGCAGCAGGAATCATGAATTTTTTCAAGATGCTATGATGCTTTTAATGCTATGAAATTATTCATATAATCTTATACAAAAGAAATTTATTAAAATTTCTTAAAACTTATTAATTAACTTAATATAAATTAAGTTTCTAAAGAAATGATTTTGGTTATATAATGCGTGTAACTTTAATTTTTTTAAATTTTATTATAAATCATAGCAATGTTTAATATTGTGCGCTGAAAAGTGAGTAAATATGCATCCAGTTTACGACAGATTCAGTATGGTAAGAAATTTATTTTGAAAGTTTTTTCATCCTCGCATGTGACGTTTTCTACCATGCATTATAAAAGCACGTATCCATCCCTGCTTCAGTGGTGAATCCAGGTGTAAAAAGTGACAGAGAAAAAAATATTAAATAATTATTGAATCATTGTTTTAAATATAAATTTAAATAAAATTTGAGCATTCACTAATTGTAAGCATTTTAAAACAATTAATGCGTTTGTTTCGAATTTGATGCCAGTTTTATTTCTATTAAACATTTCTTGCAAAAAATTGTTTTTTGTTCTTTGAATTAATTCCAATGCAATTTAGAATGCAATTTAGAAAAGATTCCAAAATAATCTAGCTTTATAGAATAATTCTTACAATTTTATCGCAAAAAAAATTAAATATAATTATTATAAGATTCTTTAATAACATTATTAATATTTTGTCCCGTGCATAACTTGAACGAAAACAATGAGCAACAATTTTTTCGCGATAAAAGATTATCCTCCATGTTATAGAGATAAGCAAATTCGCGCGTTTTATATTGACTCAATTTCATCTCTGACTAAAACTAAAATCTGCCGAGCAGCTTTTGCCCGGCACTCCCGGAATTGGAAGAGTTTTACCAATGTAAAGACCAGGATTCGCCACTGTTCTCTGCTTTCAGAGGGTTTCGCTCGAAATGCGACACTCGTGCAACTCGTATTCATTCGCAAGCATTCAACCAGCCATCCAACTAGCCAGCCGGCTGATCGTGGCGCGGTTTCTCGCCAGCAATTTTTCTTTTTCTTCCCCCTTCCCCCTCTTTTTCTCCTTTTTTTATATTTTTCTTGTTTTATTTATTTCCTCTTTATTCCGCAGGCAGGCAGGCCTCTACGCAAGCAAACACGCAGGCGACAGAGACGTGTGTGTGCGTTAGACGTGGGTGCAGTACCGAGTAACGTCGTAGCCCTGTCCGCCGGGTGGCAGGGGGTTGCTGCCCCCGAAGGGAACGGGGACCTCGCCGGACGCCCCGGTGGTTTCACGCCATAAAGGCTGTACGATTCTTCCAACAGCTCCGTATCGCTGCACCACCCACAACAGACATACACATCCGCGCTATCAGATATCCAAGTAACGGAGCGGCGATTGCAGTGCGGCATCCAGGAAACCGTGAAGGAAACGGGAGGACTGGTCATTCGAGGGTAGTGAAAATGGAGACGACAACACTTCGTCGGTGTACAAAGGTTGGAGAAAAGGGGGAGAGATAGATAGGGGTTTCCGAGTGAGCGGAGTTTATTCACCCGGATTGCGAACAATGCGCGGAGAAGCTGAATTTATGGTGGCTCTTTCGAGAAACTTCGCGGTCAGCGCGGAAGTCGACGTAAATTTTGTCTCTCTTTGCACTTCGATTATGTTAACAATAATTGCTAATCAATCAATGATTCATTGTTTTATTAATTTCTTCGAGAAGAGTGCCGGACAATAAAATAAGACCAAGATGACAACTCAAATCTTTTGAAGGTCCGTTTATATTCCAGATAAATTTGAATTAAGAATAAGATTCAATTAAAACTAAAATTAGAATTTAATAATTAATTGTATTAGTTTCATTTATTTAATATTTTTATTTACTAAGAAAAATTTTGTTCTAATTATTTGAAGTAAAATTGGAGTTTTTATGTTTATGTGCTTTAAATGCATTCAAATTTTTATCTTAATTTTTAAAGATTTTACTTAAATATATTTTACTAAATTGTATCTGATATGGTTGCAAGTAATTTATTACAAAGCAGAATAATTGTATTTTTAACACTTTCAACTTGAGTATTTTTTAATTTTAATCGAACAGAAATATGTTATCGAGTCTTTCACATTTATAAGAATTTCCTGACTTTATTCGACCATAATTGAAGCGCAAAGAGCGAAATAGATAATGTAAAAAGCAATTGATAGAAAGAAATTCAAACTAGCAAATAAATATTTGATTACTTGAACGAAAGTTCCCGCAGTCTTGTGGGAATCTTTTTCGTTTTTACATCTTTCTTTCGATAGACGAGTACTTGCGAGAGGATACGACGTTTCTCTTCTCGAAAATTGCATCGCAACGGGATCCGTATAAAGTGAAAATTTTATCGTCGTTTTATTTGAATTAGTAAGATGTGCTATTGTGTAGGCTTTTATTTTAGAACGTTATCGCAAATATAACATATAAAAATCGTGCATTTATTTAATCAGCAATAGCTTGCTGGAACAAAATACTCTTATTGAATCTGCATTTATCAATAATATTGCAATCGGCTGTTGAATAAACTCAACTAATTCTGATATATTTAACTAAAATCAAAAATATATTCTACGCAAATGAGAAATATGGATGTTAGTAAAGTGAATGAAATGAATTCCGATGTGCGATGAAATAGCCAATATTCGTCCTGCAATTGGATAAATTCTGCTTCTTCTTTCTCGCTGCTAAACTTTTTACATTTTCATTTGCACATTATTTGATAAAAATTTGCTTAAAAATTACACAAAAATTGTTTTGAAATTAATGTTGAATATTATGTAATAAAATCTCAGACTTAAAATTCTGTTGAAGCTACTAACTTGAACAAAGAATAAAACTTTTTAAATTTATTTGCACTTTTCAAGCTTAATTAGTAAAATTCTTTAGATCTTAAATCGCTTATAACTCAGAAATTCTCGATATGATTTTCACGAAGCAAAATTAAACTTGGAGAACCGCAGAGGAATTTGTAGATAAAAAAAGAAAAGATGGACTTGGGAAATTCCGTTTGCTTCGAGAGAAATATGCAATTTCCTTCATTACAACCGCATAATCGTGTCATTTTAATCGTTGTAAACCACGACCAAGTGCAATGTCGCGAATAATTACTTCGGAACTCCGGTTACCTGGCTTCTTCGTCGATAACCGGGGTAACGGTACCCGAGTATTGCGAGTAGTATGGATCTTCGTAGCTGCTACCAGCGCTGTAAGGCCCGGGTGGATATCTTCCGCTTCCGGAACCGACGCCGGCGCCACGTTCGGGGCTGCTCATGTATCCACTCTCTCCGTGTAGTCGATCTGCAGAGATTTAGATCAATAAATCGTATTAATATGTAGAAGCCGATCAAACCAATTAATGCTCTCCTTTTCGAACATTATCGCGAGTTATATTTTTATATTAGATTTTTACATTAGATACATTAGATTGCGAGAAAAATAATGTGTCGCTATGTACAGAGCGGCAATAATAATTAAATACACAAAAAACAATAAGATATAAATTTTTACACAAAAAAACAAGTATTCTTCTTCTTGCAACAAATGATTAATAAATAATTAATAATAGAGTAAACAGATGTAAATCAGCAATTATTTTTCTAAGGATTAATTACATAATACTTATCAAAATGTTCTACCTATGCGAAATAAGTTGGGCAAAATTTTTTTTACAAATTTTTATGGCTCGATACCTCCATCGAATATGAGTGGTGCGCGAATGTGCAAATTGAATTACAATCAAGGGACCAGTATCGACAAGGGAATGTCACTTATCAGTCATCGTAAAATGAAGAATAAGAAAGAAAAAGATTCTGTATGATATCGTGCTTCTTATGGGAAGACACAATCTACAGCTCTTGAGTGACAGCGGGAGCGGGTGAAAAATGGGATGAGAGAGAGAGATGCTGTTTTCAGGAATGCTGTACATTATAATATCGCACAGCATTGTACATAGAGATGGAAGGCGACACACGCAAGAAGTTTCCGAAGGTTCTTAAGGGACTTAGCTCTAGTGTTGGGAATATATCGAGCTATCATAACTTTGTAATAACCTTGCAGTTGTACAGCAAGTATAATACATATAAGGGATCGTAATTAATAGTTTATAAGAGCGAGATTGCTCAGATAATACCCGTAGTACAAAGTATCTCTTTTAGAAAATAAAATAAACTTGTGCTAAAAAAAACAGAAATTTTTGGGAAATAATACAGTGATAAAAAGAAACTTTGATGATACTCTTATCAATATTGGAAGATACTTAATGGAACTGACAGGAAATGTAGACAATATGGCTTAAAATATTTTAAACTAATGCAAATACATATTAATTTCAAACACAATTATTATTAAAAAACAGAGTTAGATTGATTATTAATGGGTTTAACGAGTACATGTTTTTAGTTTACCCTTTCCGGACTCCTTTTCATTTTTAAAACTATTCGCTCGATTTTCATAAAACTTGGTGCATAGAAGTGATGTTTTAGTTAAATTTTAAGTAAAAAGTGCAAAGATTCAAAATGACGGATTCAATATAAAGGACCAACTTTTGAAAAATAATCGAATTATTATTTTGAAACTCGCAGGTTTAGTTTTTGAAAGTTTTTGTTGTTGCTCTATATAACCTTAAAATTTTAAAATTCTTACAATTGAGTTCAGCGATCCTAAAAACCGAGTTTTACGATAATCGGATCTTAAATTTTTTAAATTTGGTTTGTTATAATGGATCTGGACTTTTGAATTTTGGAATTCTAAGATCACAATTAAATTCAGTGATTCTGAAAATCCTTAGAAAACTATGTATAAGTTTGTATAACTTTGATAGAAAGTTTTCGTCCCGAAAGGGTTAATTCATGCTTAATAAAAAAAAAAAGATTAGAAAAATCAAAATATAGTAAAAAATCGCGTAAAAAATAGATTTTCGCTTCTTCGGATCAATTTTCGAGACAGTGCTTCGATTTCCTCTTTTTTGCGTGCAACACGCCAACAGCATTTGAATGCGCAAATTCAAAATGTTTCAATTTCATTCATCCATTCTTATCTATTCCCAACACTATCTCCACGGTCTCGAGGTCGTTTAATTAAAACTTGGCTCGATCCGGCTCTCGCCAGCTAATCGCAACTGCCAATTTCATGGTTTTCCTGCAGTTACCGCGTTCCGAACAACCATCTTCGTACTAAAGCTTTTCCTTATTACTAATGCGCGACGGTGTCGCAATATTGTCATGCTGTATCAAAAAATTTACAAATTCTCTAATCTTTATTCACATTTTGCATTAGGCTTAAAAATTATTTATGTTATAATATAGTTAAGTAAAAACAAAAAGCATTATGTTATCAATGGTTTACTTTCTTGTGAAAAATATATAACAGGATTTCTCTTTTACTGTACACTTTTTTATTTATTTTTGACGCGCCAAGATTGACCATGTCAAAATCATTCACATCACAGCAAATACAAAGATTTATCTGTTGCTTAAATTACCGCAATAAAAACCGCGATAAGTACTCGCTTCATATGGTTCGAAAATAAACGAGATTTTATGCATTTGGATCGGATTCTATTTCGTCTCGTACACGCGACTGATGGCATTGTTCCAAAATTTACAAAGCACGCAGTCTGCAATATATCGTTTCGGGACAAATTGCATCACGACAAAAGTCCTTACCCGGAAATTGTATAAAACGCACCACATCGAGCGTTTGATCATGCTCGCGTATTCACGTATAAGTTTTTCGATTGCCGTTTCACCAGGCTGCATCATTTTAGTTAAAATCGATATTTTCCCTGCATGATTTGTTAGCGGAATTTTGCCGAACTGCTCGTGATTAAAAGAAACTTTATTCGACGCGAGTCACTGTTTCACTTCATGCTTTTATCAGCTGCATTTAGTTATTATCTGCTAGTGTACTGTTAGTAATATTAGTAATAGACTTTATTCAAGACCAAATTCACTTGCGGAACATTTATTTATTTTTATTTAATTCATTATTTGTCATTTTAGCTGGAAAATAATGTTATTTCGTAAAACGGCGTTCAAGCTTTGTTGGAAAGATTCATAAGCTTCTCATGTTCGCAGTTGAATCCGCAAGCATGTTATTGATCGCCTCTGCGGCAAGCCTGCCGTCGCGGAAGGATCGAGCTGTGTCTGACGAATGTTTATGGATACTACTGACCTGGTATACTATAGAGGGAGACCGAGCTGTCTCGAGAGAAGCGCGCCGAGCCCCCGAGGCTGCCAAGGGGACTCTTACCACACTGGTAGCTGCGAAGCGGCTTGGCCGGCGGCACCCCGCCACCACCTATCCAACCATCCAAAAAACCAAACAAAAAACCAATGTACCCAGACGCTCTCCGATGCACTCCGTGCCTTTTCTTGTTCTCCTCTAAACCCGCTCGACGTTTCAGTGCACATGCAGAAGTAAACAAGAAGGAAGGGTTTCCGATCCGCGCAACGCGGTCCAATGCGGCTTTTCACAACTTTTCCCTTTTCACCGATTTTTTACACAAAATATTTTATATTTAAATTTATATTATTATTATATAATTTTTCACGCAGCGTTTTTACGGTCAAGTGGATTGTAATTGCAAATCTTAAGTAACAACGATACGTAATACGTTTCCCAATGACGACATTGATGATCATTTCTAAGTAATTTTCTGATCATCGTACACCTGTGTTCTTACAATGATTTCACAATCGCGACAATTGAAGCGTCAAGAGAAATGTTCTCTTTCAAAAACGGTTTCGTCTGGAAAATTGTATTCATCGAGTTGACAGTTTAGAAGGCGGCCGTGTGTTTTCGGACTGTGTAAAATAGACTCGTCACGATAGTTGATGATTATGATCGGTCGTTCGCGCGTGTCCTTAATCTTTTCGGCTTGGCATACCCGCATAAAACGTTTCTCTCGACAACAAGGAGAATCGCTCGTAGCGACTAGAATGAGGCCATCCTTTCCCCTTGGACTAACAGACGGTTTGTCAAGTATTTTCGAGTAGAGCACTTGGCCAACGATGGTCGTAACGATCTCCGTTTGAGCGATTAAGAATCGAAACGACCTTGCAACCGTCGATCGGAAGTATGAAGAATGGAGAGCAATTGTGTTTGCATTTGTGTATGCAAATGGTATGCGTTTAAGCTGAAGCATGAGATAGATGTGCGTTGCAAAAAATTGGTCGAATAGTTTTCCGATAGAAAAAAATTGCGTTGAAAATATTTTTCTTCCGTAAATGTACTTTCAACGCCACTACTCTCTTATCTTCCGATCTTTTTCTTTGCAAGCTAATTATACTCTAAAAATAATGTTCTTGAAATTGTAATTTGAAATCCAGAGTTTATGATCACAACTGAGTAAACTGTTTAACTTCACAATTTCGAATAATATTTATGGCTTTGAATAAAATTAATACAAAATTGTTGTATATCAATTAAAAAATCTGTATTATATTAATATTATAATGTTTGCTCTAATATAATTGTAAAGTAAATTAAATAAATGTGAACTAGATCCCAATTGCCTTAAGATACGAAAGTTATTTCATATTATAAAAAGTTAGATGGTTGTTTTACTCTATGTAATACAACCATTATCAATCATCTTTCTACATCTTCATGTTTGCGCCACAACTGTAGCAGCAGTAATTTATTTCAACAGTTTTGTTTCTCAAAATAGTTGATTCGACCAATTTTTGAAAGCAAAACGATCAAAGAACTCAGGCTTCTTTGTATGTCAAAATCACCAACGGGTATTTAGCGTGTTAATTGCATGTAAGGCGACCAGAATTGCTTACGTTGCCAAGATAAAATCTGTCTTGCACGAGTGATCTAAAATCTAATCTCTTTCAGATCTCTTTCAGATCTCTTTCAGATGACAGGACAAGTCAGTCTACTGACATTTAATCATCGTTCTTTGCGAAACTCAAATCCATTTGAAAAAATCAAATTAAAGATTAAAATTCTGATATTATCGCGAAGATTGCAAAACCGCTCTGTTCAGCAACTTGAAAGGTGAAATATAGTGTATACCAGTGTATACGTTCGTACTTATGCTCGAGCGTTGATCTCACAAATGCAGCGCGGAGAGATCAGAGGATTCCGGGAATTCTGATGATTTAGTATGACATTTCGAGGGGCTTCTCACGTTTCTGGTCACCTTAGGGGCGAGGATGTCTGAGGGAATGTGAAATTGCGCGGGGAATTGGAGAGTATGCACGATGTATGTCTGCATGAAAATCTCGGAAGAAGGGTGCTCCAGTGATGCTACGCTATAGGGAACATAGATGCGAACATAAGGGAAATGCACAGGCGCAAAGCAGTAAATTCTCATCGATGTCGCGTGAGCGGCCCAAGAGTTGTTTTGCAATCTCGTTGAAAATACATGCGATATCTTGTCCATTACATACAAAATAGTCAAAGAGAAAATTTATTTTACAAGTAAATTAACTTCATTGAATGAGACTCTTTAATATCACTGAAAAAATGGTCTTGCAACTACAGCAAAAATTTTTTGGATGCAAAAAATTAGCTAAAGTAGATAAATGATTAGCAAATACTGTGATATCGCATATGTTTGGCACTTAATCAATCTAAATGACAGAGACAGAATTTATATCTGAATTATTTGTGAAATTTAGAAAGAAAGTTTTTCTGCGGCGCCTATTCATGTTAAAGCTAATCATACTTGTTAATCAAAATGTATTTCAAATTGTATTTCAAATACAATAAAATATTTGAAATACAAAATGTACAATGCTAACACAATCTTGGTATTTAAATTATAAAATACAAAATACTTTTAATTTTTAATTTTCGATTTAAAATACAAAAATTTTGTATTTTAAATAAAAAATTGAAGATATTTTGCAATAAATACTAAAATTGTTAGTATTTTGTATTTTGTATTTCAAATGTGTTTGCCCTGCTTGTTGTAAAGTTTGATTGTGGTACACAAAAAAGACTAGCGGCGAGAGACAAATGAATCCATAGCAAAAAAAAAGCCACAGTGACATTACAACAGACTTACAATAGAGTCACAAGATTACAGAAAAATTGAGATGTCACTCTGACATTATCAGAAAATTGCAGTGATATCATTAGTTACAGTCGTGGTGATATCATCATAATATGACATAAAATGTCGCAGAAATGTTACAACACATTCCAAAAACAGTATTTAGTTATTAGTTCGTTTGCTTGCCGCTATGTGGCGCATTATGCGCTATCTATTTCATATTTAAGTTTTAATCATGAGAATTATATAAAACTTGCAAAAGGCAGCTAATAATATTAAAGATATAATAACTTTCTATCAGTTTAATATCTGAATCCAAACAGGGAATTTAGATAGACTGATTGTTTAGAAATTGAGTAGATAAATATTTATTTCTTATTTTATATTTTTATTTTATTTTTCATATCACAATGATGCCATAGCGACATTATATGAGCTGTGATAAAGCAAACAATCGTATGTCACTACGATTTCATTATGACATATTTGAACGTCACAGAGAAATATCATTATGATATCACTGTGATTTGTTTTGCTATGGGGGTATGATCCTCACATCTAACATAATTTGTATAATGCGCCCATCCGTTATAATCGGCAGCTATATTTTTCACAAGAAATATAGCTCGTTCTAGCTACAGTATCAAAACTCATTTACTCAATGCAATTATTATTATTTGGCAATGAGACCTAAATTTTCTAGAAGATATTGCTAGAATGTTGCTGTTATAAATTTTAGATGTGACAAACAATATTTTAGCGGATACAAGAAATAGCGATACATTTTTGTTGTGACACCTAGAAATCTACCTACATCAGCAAAACATTTTTTTCAGTGATATATATACAGGGTGTCTGGCAATAATCGCCCCACCGGTCATATACAGGTAGAGGAGGTCAAATCGAGTAGAAAAGTCCTTTACCATTTTTTAATTTTCATAATAAGTACTGAGTAATTAACGAAAAAAGATCGGCGAATCCGCGCGAGTAAAGCGTGCGCGGTGAGAAGGACGTCCCACTGCTACGCGATCACTAGGACACAACGATCTAGCGTTACGCGCCGCTCGTATGTTGCCATTGTCATTTGTAGAGCGCTCCTCCCAACGCTTCATCGCGCGCCTAGTGATCGCATAGCAGTGGGATGTCCTTCTCGCTGCGCGCGCTTTACTTGCACGGATTCGCCGATCTTTTTTCGTTAATTACTCAGTACTTATTATGAAAATTAAAAAATGGTAAAGGACTTTTCTACTCGATTTGACCTCCTCTACCTGTATATGACCGGTGGGGCGATTATTGCCAGACACCCTGTATAACGCATTATTGCATATAAGAGTATTTTTAATATCAAATTTTGTTCTCACTTGACACCATTATCTGATATCACAATTTTTGTGATCATGAAAAATCAATTTTCATGTGTAACTGTTTTTTTTTTCATTTTACTAAAAACAATCTTTTGCTTTAATGTTTTTTTTCGTAAAAATTGTATTAATTAAGACACTGTTTTTTGTATGTGTACAATAATGTTCCGATAAGCGCGTATGTTGCCTTCTTTGAAAGGTAAATTTTTAATAAATATAATTAAAGCAACAAGTATAATAATTCTTTAGACAAATGTAACATAAATTGACACAATTTAATATAAAAGATTTGTAACAAAATAATCTCTAGAATATTTTACTGGGCCGCTCATTTGATAAATCGGAGTCGGTTTCGCGTTCGTCAGTTTGCATATTAACGCGACAATACACGTGATGTATGGAAATGAGGAATAAAAGGAGGAATGTGGGCATTCGTATACCTGGTGTCGTAAGAGTCTTGGTCTGCGTCGGTGTCGCGTTCGGTCCACCGACAACGCTTGATGTCGCGGGGCTGTACGCCCTTAGGAGCGGTCCACCGCGTGGCAGAGTGCTGCTTCCGCCCACGTAGTATCCGCTGCCCGACGTTGAATTCTTGGCCGTCTGCAAGCAGAGAAGAAAGAATTCAGGCGATTCAGATTACGGCGATAATCGACCATAAATTAGGACAATTTGTCATTTTTTACGCTGACGAAGATGGCAGCCGCAATCGTCATTGCGACGTGATGCAATCTTCAGCGTTGGATGCTGTTTTTAATTAAACGGTAATCAAGTAATCAAATGGCATTGCAGCAATAAATAAGACACAAAACAGTAATTACGCTAGGTCAAGAAGTATAGTCAAGAAGATAATAGTAAATTTTATGGCTTGAAAGAATGTGATAGTCCAACAATAAAAATAATGATTTGTTTATCAATTATGTGTCGATAAAATCATGATCGATAATAAATGTGACTTTTGCAAACAACTAAAGTTTCAAGTATGATTCACTCGGAACTATATTATCGTGAAGAATTGCCAAGGCAGATGCTTAGCCATGCAAATATACGAGTGTCTCCAGACCGTCGCTTTCGCAACAGGTTTGAGGACTCGGTAATGTTAGCTTTCCAGTGCGAATTTCCAATACAACAGTTTTTATAGTCACTTTAATGCACGCCATGTACATACGTCGTTACGTATCGATTTCCCGACACACACAAACTTTCATTAAGTTGATCAATGGAGGATTTTATTCGTTTCTAATTTCACAGCATAAAACGCTTTTTCTACCGCTAAATATTAAAAAGTTTAAAGCATTTAAATTCAAGAAATTAATAAATAATTGTAATAAACAGAATGAAAATATCTCTTTTAAGTAGCGCATAAGATCATAATGTGAAGACTACTGCTTTGACCTATTTAGCTTTGAAGAAAATGCACTCTAAGATGCTTTTACATCGAATAAAACGTGTTTGTAATTCCGCATTAGCTTGCAACATGGAATGCCTAAGCTATTTGCCGTATCATCCCGCTTATTTTGCACTGCTCGTCCCGTCAACTTTCCACGAAGGATCAGCTTTCTCATATCCGTCTATTATGAATATATGACACATGTAATAATGTGAACAAAAGAAGAACAACTTTATTTTATTAATTATCAATGTGCGCAATTACGCGAGATCATCAACATGTATTCTACATGTTGACGATCATTAATAAAATAAAGTTGTTCTTCTTTTGTTTTCATTTATGAAGCGATAATCAATAAGTTCTTTAGTAAGCTATTAAGATTATAATTTATACTGTTCACTACATCATGCAATGAATTTATTAGAAATTGAAGAATGTATACAATTTTTTAATTAAAAATATTCCTGAGAATATGGAAATTTCTCAAACACAAGTGCATAATATTTAAGAAATTTGACGTTCTTCCATTATTTCAATAATACAATTTGTTGTTGCGATATTGAGCGTCTTTTGTAATTTCACCATTTAAGCTCAAACAAAATCACAAATGGGGGTGCTAATAATGTTTATTCGAAAATTATCAATACAAAACAAACGTAGAATTGTACACAATTTTGAAAGTTTTATTTTTTTAAGAAAACCACAAATTTAAATTTCAAAACATTTAATCTTAAAACAATCTAACACATATAAAGGAAAGGCTCAAATGATAACTATCAAATAATATAATAGAAAAGCATTGAGAGCCGTCGCGGGATGTTAGTGCGAAATTCTAATTTTTCTTAAAGAAATTAATTTATTAGTCTACGTGAGACAGTTAACTTTGTACACCGATCTCTGGTTCGAGATACTTAAAGTGTACGAAAATTTTAGTACATTGTTCTCACATATGGAGAATCAGTATGTACTGATAGGAATTATTAGAAAGAAAGGAAGAGAGAAAAAATATCAGGGCACGAATGGCTAAGCCGGGAATTGAACCCGGGTCTTCCGCTTGCCGGACATTTAATCTTGTTTTTATATATTTTTTATTTATGTATGGTTTGATGTTAAATTATTGTTATTTTTTGCGCGGAGTAATATGCGTTTCTTTCAATTTTGTTTGACATATTTTGAAATTTTAATTTGAGATCTTCTTAACAAATTTATAAAACTTTCAAAATAGTGTATAACTCTATGTTTGTCTTGTTGACTACATCCAGCTGAGACTAGTACACTCTTGTCTTTATATATTTTTGATTTGTGTATCGTTTAAGGCCATAAATTATTGTCATGTTCACGCGAGACAATATGTGTTTTTCTACCTTCTTTTTTCGATTTCATTAGACAGAATTTTGGAATTTGAACTTACAGTCTTCTTAACAAATTTATAAAATTCTCAAAAATGTGTATAAATATATGATTGTTTAGTATTAATAATTTTCAAATATTCTTGTTTTTATAAATAGTTTCATATTTTTTTGTAATTTAAAAAATTTAGAATTAATAGATATCATAATTATATAGGTATAATATATTTTATCGAAGCAAGAAGTGAGTGTGATAAATAGTGATAAACAGTGGTGACTAATTACAGTGGTGTCAACTTATGGATCTGTCTGATGTATGTATTCATTTCGAATAAGAGACGTTTGTCGCGCATTACCAAGATATCGCTCTGAGAGCTTGATTTCGCGGGCTCATCGTTTGTCCTCATCGCGGCAAAAGTACGGTGAGCTGAAAATGGGCCGCCGTAAGCTGTAGCCACCATGAAAGGTCGCCTCCCTCTTACCGATTCCGTACTCCGTGTACTCGCGCTTGTGCTCGCATCGATTTCGCTTTAGTCGTTGTTTACCATTGCCGTGAGTTCGGCCAGTCGCTTCATACGCTGTGTGAATCGACTAGAAGAAAAGAAAAGAAAAAAAAATCCATCTGCATCAAAGGAAATCGATCGATCAAAATGAAGAGCTGAAATTGAGCAAGAAGCATTTTTCTGAAAGTTGATCGCAGGAATCTGCGAGAAAATCCATGAAAAAAGGAAGAAAAAGAAACTTTCTCCATTCCTAAGGACATTATTCAACTCCCTGGCGGTTCTCATGTTAGTATATTTTTTTGTGGCAAGTAAAATATACACACAACACAAACTTGGTAACAGAGGAAGAAAGAAAAATAATTGCTTCTCCAGGCGTCAATTATAAAAGACAAATATTCCGTTTCTTGCCTTTTCTACATCTGCGGAAGACACGAGAAAAAATTCACGGTCTTTCCACCCGACGTGCTTTTAATTATAGGCATCATCAAGCAAATACTAAGCGCCGCCGAGGCTTTTGATGGTACGAATGAAAGAAAAAGATCAAAGAGCAGACTACCGCTGCGTTTCGTGCTTTTGGCCGTGAAAGCTGTCACACGTCGAGCAAAGAAAGTTACGAAGAAAGTTAATTTTTACGTTTTTCAGGAATCGTGTCGAAGAAGTAAAAGAGTCTAGTTTCTTGCTTGCACTCAAATGTTTTGATTTCTCGATGATCAAGGAAAAACTTGAGCTCTTTAAATATATAATAGGAAGTGCGCGGATAACGTTTCAAGAACATACGCGCATCCCGATCGTGGGAGCTGCCAATCAGATGTCAAACGAGCGATAAGTTGCGAAACGGAAAACCGGACTGACAAAAAGTTGGCGTGACGAGTGTGAGGAACGTCGAGCGGACAGGGCGGAGATGCCAGGTGGTTTTCTGCAGTTCGACGGGGTGAGAGAAGGAAAAAAACTTGCTGAGCACCGTGTGTAGCGGGTGAAGAGGAGCGTCAGCGCGGGTAAAGTTGGTGGAACAAAAGTTGGACGGATAACGTCCGTGGAAGACAATTCTCTTTTCGTGAGCGCGATCAGATAAACGCGGGATAAGATTAAGTAGAGGGAAGGCTGGGAGCCGAGAGATAAAAGAAACGAGAAACCTTGTCGACGGAGAATAAGTATAAGGAAGCAGACGCAAAGAACAGACCTCTGTGGAAAAACGAAACGGTGAACTTTCGCTGCGAGGCGAAATTAACGAAGCGGCAGTTTGGACGCGACGAGAGCAATGATCAGATAAGAATGAAGAAATTCATGACAAAGTTCGGAATTAGTATTCTCCCGTCTACGTTCGCGATCTTTTTGGGCTGTTTGCTCGTCGCGGCGCTTTCAGGAAGATCGAGTGCGCTTATCGAAAGAAAAGTCGGTGGCACGCCGATGCATAGCGTTCAATTGACGCAAAAAGGCTACATACAGGTGAGAATTGCTCATGATGATTCAGAGAAAGTCACGGCTGGATTTTACTATTTCCCGGTACTATATTTAGAACACGAAATAATCTCACTTCTGCGTCAGAAACATATATGCGTATGGTTATGAAAGTGGGCTCAAAGTCATATATGCTTTGTTTTGGGATATTTTTATTTTTGCGTTTGTATATATTACAAAATATTTCCTTGTTATGTAACAAAATATTTTCTAAAATACTTACTCGTATAATGTAAATCTGTTACGCAATAGTAAAATTTTACGAGTAGCTTGTGAGAAAATATGTTTTTTCATACCTTAAACTGTTAAATCTAGAAGAAAGTGTTCCGGAACATGGGGTATGTGTTGAAAAGTGCATATGGATCAAGGTCGACTATTTCTGGAGTGATAGATTTTGACAGTTTTCAAAATTGATGATAAATCTTACAAATAATTTGACACAAAAATATATTCAACAATTGAATTTTATTCAAAAACAAGTTAAAAACAAACATATCCATTCACACATTTTCTAATTATAATTATGTTTCATTAATTTTTACTAGTAATCTAGTTTTCTTTTTCTTTTTCGATAGTAGAATTTTTAATTTTTGAAGTTTCGAGAGCTTTAAAATATTTGTAATATTATTTTATATTATTATATAAAATTTATTTACCTGAATCGCTGCCTAATGATGAAAGAATAAGTATGTTCTTCTTCATAAAACAAAATTTTACCAAAAAGCAAGTAATTTATTATTAAACCAGTGTTAAAAAGTAAACTAAATTCTGTTTAACGACACACAATTACCAAAATTCCATTAAGCGATCCAATTTTCAACTATTTCTCAAAAATGATTCCACAATATTATAATGTAAATCAACGTAACACAAAGTAAATGATAAATTCAAAATTTTCAGTTTTTTTTTTACTTGATTCACTTTCATAATTAGTGGCACATATGAGATATTTCAGATTTCTACCATCTTTCTGATTAATTAGTATTAAAATTCTTTATTATTTAATCACTAAACTTTCACTTAATAAGAATTGATACTTGAGAAAGGAATTTTTATTCACCGAATTGTTTGAACAACGTCAGTGATATTAATTACAAATTGCGCAGTAAATCATGCCGTAATCCTGCATTAAAATGTATCAAGAATGAAGAAAGCTAACAAAACAGCGAGTGAATAATGATAAATCGACATCGTGTCAAATGCAAAAGATACACATGTTTCAACGGAGCGTGGAAACTCGCGAGATTTCTATCGATTACGTGAGCAACAAAGTTAGCCATTCTATATCACTAAAAAAGAAATTGGTTTTACGCAGATTGCTTAATTTTCACTCCAGGAATTGTCGGCCTTGATCCATATGCACATTTCAACACATACCTCATGTTCCGGAACACTTTCTTCTAGATTTAATTTTTCCTCAGCAAACATTCATTTCTACAACTCTTTTTTGCAGTCAACTTTAATTCAACTTAATTAAGTTTCAAATTTATAATTCTGTTAAAACCAAATTCTTTTAACGTTATTTAAAAATATTTAAAGCGCTAAAGTTTCTGATAAAAAAATATAATTTTAGATCAAAGATCAAAGAACAAATGACGACTATTTTAGAGCGTTTTATGTATAGCATTAATCCACAATTAGATAAGCGTAGAGCGGCACGCAATGTTGTTAGCTAATCCTTCAGTTTCTTTTCAGTTTCTCAGATGGGAATTGCCGGTACCGGAAATTCATGAATTTACATTCTGCCTGTGGGTGAAGTCAAATGATTTCAAGCATCCTCATTCGATCTTCTCGTACTCGAGTGAGTATACTTAATAAAAGCTCAATTTTACGATGCATTAATTTAATTGTAGGAATTAATTTAAAGTAACGCTATATAAAAAAATTAAAATTTTTACTTGCAAACTATTTAATAAAATAATGACAAAAAGTTGTTACATTTATATTTTATTTTCTATTTGATTTAAAGCATTTTATCATTAAACTCTTATATTTTTTATTACATTATTTTATTTATACAGATTATATATTTATTGCATAAACATGCTTGTAATTTGACAAGCTTTATGATAAAAAACAACACGGATAAACTGGTCCCGTTATTTCTTCATGACTCTGCGATCTCTCATTGCATTGCAATTTGTATGCATATTGCGGACGGAATATTGTACAAGGAATTACTGTGAAAAACAGTACGGAAACAATCCGCATTTTACAAGCTCTGAAGCTGCAGAAAATACGAATCCATTGTTTTGTAATTTAATCGAAGATAATAGTATGCGTTGCACGGTTAAATTGCGTCGAAGTAAATGTAATTTCTGTGAATGGGAGATAAAGAAACGCGCTTCTGCGTTCGTGTGCGACAATTCACCATTTCTATCAGAATTGTTTTAACTGCTTTGAAACGACAACGAAAGAGAGAGGGGGGAGGGAGGGAGGGAGAGGGAGAACTCTTTTCTTACATGGCGCTGTGCTATTATTCGCTCAGGTAGGTATTCGCCGAGTGAGTTACACAAGAATCGCTGCGGAAAGTCGATGAGAAAAACGTCTTCGCTTTATGGAAAACGTTCAACCTCTTCGCGCTTACGGTAGGTGCTACCTTCGCGACACAGCAGTTTAGCAGCATGTTAACGAATGCCTTGCCACACGGCATTATACTTTTTATGGATGAAAAATAGCGGTACCGGTCTACATTCTGATAAAACATTTATTGGTCGAATTATGAAACCTCACAGGATATAATTTATTCTTTGATAGTCGGTATACAAATAAAATTTAAATATTTATGCTAGAATAAATTAAAAATCGTCTCACGCTTCATGGAAAACGTTTCATTAAAATCCTAATCTTCTTAATAATACGCTGTCGCGTTACAAAATAAATATTCTCTACACACGATGTGAGAAATCGGAAGGTAAAAAGAATAAATAATATTCATAGCACATATATTATATAATTAATAAAAATCTAATAAAATAAAAGATTTACAAAAATATTATAAAGGTGATTCAAAATAACCTGAATCCTTGCAATAGATGTCTTTGCAATGGATGTCCTTGCAATGTCATATTCTTGAGCGAATTCTGAGACGATTTTTCCTTTTACAAAATTTTTGTCCAAAACTTAGTTTTTGAGTTATAATTGAAAAATAATTTGCTACTTACGAGTCCGATACAACGGACAGG